AGCACTAACAATGTACTTGTACCAGAAGTATCGTAATACCATTAATCAGCATACTGTAAGTACATAAATGTATACGTGTTCCTATGCGTATGTTGTGTTGAAAGTTTAAGCTGATTCTGATCAAAACTTTATTTTTTTAATTTTTGAAGTTACTCCAAAATTAGGCCAAAGTCCCTGTACTATAAGCAAGAGTAGATACTAAAATATTATCTACTCTTGCTATAAGACAGGATATTTGGCCAAGTTTTGCCAAAAATGAAAAGGAAGAATTTTTATAATTTTTTTGATGCATATTCATTTTTTAATGTTGTTTGGAAAGTTTGAACTGATTTCAATTAAAGATAATTTTTTACAAATTTTTAAGTTACTCAAAAATTGGGCCAAAGTCCCTGTACTATAGTACAGCTTAATTTTGCCGAAAACAAAAAGTAAAAAATGTTTCATTTATATAATCCTAATGCATATACATATTTTTTAGTTATGTAAAAAAGTTTTAGCTGATTCCGATCAAAATTAGATTTTTTTTGAACTTTTAAAGTTACTAAAAAATTGGACCAAAGCCTGTATGGATCTTTGGCCAAATTTTGCCACATTAAATAGGAGAAAAATTCCCTTTTTATAATTTTTCCTGATGCAAATACATGTACATGTTCTTATGTTGTGTAAGAAGGTTGAGTTGATTTTGATCAATATTAAAATTTTTATAAAATTTTGAAGTTGCTTGCCAAAATTAATACAATGTACAATGTACTTGTACATTAAAAATACTAAGTGTACATGTAGTGTACAGGGTATTTCTATTATTGGTGTTTATAATAATAAGTTTTGTCTCTGTTTCTCTCCTTCCTCAGTATATTGGATGCATCATTAGAGTTTGAAGATAATGAAGATGCCATTATTGAGAAAAGACGTCATAGGAGGAAGAATTCTGAGCAGAAACATCAATATGTAAGTCACACCCACTATATATTGGTTTACCTATAATATAAAGCAATGGGATGTCTAATACTGAATGTTACCTACTGTATGTACAGTAATCTATATGTAGCAATGCATGTACATGTACATGTGTATGTACGTGTATACCGTATAGCAAGAAATTTTCTTAGCCCAAAATTTTCGTGGATCCATCTAAAAATCAATTTGGTGGCTTTAATTTTTGTGGTTTTCTACTTTTCGGCCATCTTGAACCATACTAAATTGATTTTCACGGATTTTATTTTTGTGAATTTTGAAAAAACGCGAAATCCATGATTATTTTGGGCCACGAAAATTTCTCGCTATATGGTAAATATTAACATTAACCTTCCTAGTTAATGGGCAAAACTGATTTTGTTGGAGAATTCACTGTATTACTAGATGTATTGCTGGCATTATGCACAAAGCAATAAAAATTCTCTCCTTTTCCATTTGGCAAAATTTGAGACAATGTACTAAATTAAACTGACTTTGGCCCAATTTTTGAGTAACTTTAAAAATTCAACTTTGTTGGATTCAGTTCAAACTTCATGTATGAGATTCTGAAAAAAATTTTTAATTGGAGAATTTCCTCCTTTTCAGTTTTTGACGAAATGTGGCCCAAGACCAGTATATGTAGTACAGGGCGATATTTGAGCAACTTAATCAGTAAAAATCCAAATTTGGTTGGATTCAGCTCAATTGTGCTATATGACATGAATACAGAAATAATAAAAATGGAGAATTCCCTCTTTCAATTTTGGTGGAACACCCTGTACTACTAAAGTTTTAAAAAATTTTCAAAAAAATTCAGTTTTACTTTGTGTTAATTTGTCAAAAAGTAATGGAAACAAAGACAAATAGGATTCCAAACAACCAACAAAAATACAAAATAAAAATATTACATGTACTCTCGTGATCAAAATGTTACTCTACAATGCATTTTCAATGTTGTTATGTATGCAACTTTTGAAAATCCACTTTAAAAAGCAACATGCCTGTAGGAAAAACACTGCATTTTTTTACATGTACATGTACATTGCTTGCTGTGCTAAAAACTGGTGTAATAAATAGGCTGAATTAGCACTACTCCATATACAATGTACACGTACTACATAGTACATGTATACACTATTATAATTAATCTTATGCCAAAATGGCATAAATAGATAAAGAATAACAATGACAGTACATGTAAGGATCCGTTTTACCTCTCTTTCTCCTTCTCTCCTCTCTAGGTCATGTCCTTATCTTTCATTTCGGTTTGATACTATATGTACATTCACATTAAAAGTTAGTGTTATTTCAATTATCATCCACCTTTTTGAACTGACAAAAGAAAAAATTTTGTAATAAAAAAATGAAGTGACTTGAACAAACCTATAGTACATGTACATGTACTCAACTGTTGGAACTACATGTATATGGTGTTTCAAGGCCAAGCAATGAGATCACCTCATCTTTTAAAATTTTGAGCAAAATGAACATGTATACAGTATTGGGATTTTTTATTCACATACACATACATGTATGCTTGTACATGTACGTGTATACACATGTATGACATGTCTAATATTTTTATCATCTCTCTCTTTCTCCTTCCCTTTCCTCCATTATACAGATCAGTTCCCTCTCATAAGTGATGATTTGGCCAATTCGCATTATTTTTATTATTGTACTGTATTGGCATGTTATGTGCATCTGCTGATGTTGGAAAAGATACAATTTGTTGTGTAATAACTTCACTCCTCCTCTCTTCTAGCAATCACACCTGATTATGACTTTGCCCCTCATTAATAATTATGGACGACTATCCTACTATATTACCGGATATGTGGAGGCAATTTTCAGGTTTAAGTAATTAAATAAATAAAAATAGATTAATTATTATTATTACATTGTGTGTGTAATTAATTTTTTGCAAAGTAGTTTTACGCATATACATATGTACACATACACGTACATGTATAACAAGGGCGAGCATCTTAATGTTTTTTTATTTTCTAGTAATTGATATACTTGTACATGTATTAATTTTCTTAATGAAAGTCACAACAAATAAATGAGCAAAATTAAATACCTATATTTCACTGGCAAACTTTGCTAATTTAATATTTTTGTGAAATTAAATTCCACAAAAAGTGTGGTAAGATTTGTCAAAATTTATACCAACAAATGGCAAATCTTGAAAAATTTAAGAAATTTTACATTAACAAATTAAAACCTCTATGCGGTAGTGGTTTATAAATGTCCAGGCAGCAAAGAAGGCTAAGAAAGATACATGTATATAAAATCTTTTTTGTTGATGTAAGGCATCCTGATTATATTGAACCAATTGAATGACAGAGTATAGCTTAAGCTTGACTGAATCCTGAAAGAACTGCTTATCTACCGAATTATTAGTGCAGTGACTATTTTCAACTACATGTACATGTACATCTGTATCTTTACTGCTTGCTAAATGCTATAAACATGCTGTTGCTAGAGAGATTCTGAAGCAATGGAGAGCAAGCCAAGAAGTGCAAATTGACATCAAGGTCTACTGTATACAGGTATTTAGACATGTGGTAAAAGCAATTTTTGTGTGCAATAAAATGTATGCTTGTTTGCTCAGGCTCGCCCCTCAATGTTTTACATTTATCTAATAATAAAATGCATGTACTGCATTGGTTGCTATGGTAAAGCCAGGATTCATTATTACTTCCTTTGGTCACAAGATCTTTGAATATAATTTTAGTACCGCCCAATTTTTGTGTCTAGCTGAGCTGACCTTTAGCCTTTCTCTCCTTCCACCTTCTTCATTTTTTATTGCTAAATCTGGTCATTAAGACTCTCTCTCCTACTCTACTTTGTTTTGCATTTCATTATTCCAACTTCTTCATTTTCTTGTCGTTCTTCTTTGCTTTATTGTTATTTACTTTATCCCTCTTCAGTTTTTGTTCTTGTCTTTTTTTGAAATGGCAGCCAAGCCATCTTCTGGTCTCAGACTCAAACTGGAGGAGCGGCTTACCTGCCCTGTTTGTCTTGGCCACTATACCAACCCTAAGATCCTACCCTGCCATCACTCTTTCTGTCAGCACTGTCTGGAGGGATTACCTCTGGATAAGAAGAGTGAGATCTATTACTTCTTTTGCCCCACTTGTCGTCGTCGTACAAAGTTACCAGAAAAAGGAGTAGGAGCCTTTCCTGTAGCATTCCACCTCAACGACCTCAAAGAGATGTACAGCCTAACAAAGAAGACAGCTGATCTTCAAGAGGCCATGTGTAATGATCATGGCAAACCTTTGGAGCTATTCTGTGAAAGGTGTGATACAGTGATCTGTTTACACTGCTCAGTTCGTAATCACAGAGGTCATGAATGTGACTTAATTGCTGACAGTTATACTAAACACTGTCAAAAGTTAAAAGAATGTTTAATACCTGTTGAGAGAAAGAAGGAAGCACTCAAGAAGGTCCTGTCTGCTCTAGCAGAAAGAGAGGGTGAGATCAGAGAGATAGGAGAAGGAGTCTTAGAAGAAATACATGAAATGGTAGAGGAAATGATGAATGCTCTTCGTCAGTCAGAGAGGAAACTGACAGAGCAGGTGAAGAAGGTCACTGATGATAAACTAAAGGTGCTATCAGAGCAAATAAAGTCAGCAGAAATGAGTTTAAGTCTTCTGGAGGATGTTGAAGAATATGTGAATCAGAGTATTAAGACAAGCAACTATGAACAAGTCCTGAGGTCTAGGAAACAGATGATGGAACATATGATTGAAGTTACTGGAGGAATCAATGTGGAGGAGTTACATCCAAAGGAAAGAGCTGACTTTGTATTGACTAAGGATATCAAATTGCTACATCACATTGGAGATATTGTCCCACTACAACAGTGTAGAGTGAAGAAGATTGGTCGTATTACAACTGCTGGCAAAGCAGTTTTGTTTTCATTATCAATGGAGGCACCAGATTCATCTCTTTTGTCTGTTCGGACTGTTCCCCTCTCTTCTCTCAGCTGTAGTCTAGTACCAGTTGGTAAAGGTGATCAGCCCATTCACACTACAGTCACTACCACCAGCACTGATCCTGGAGTGTATAAGATACAGTGTAACCCTTCAATCAGTGGTACTCATACAGTAAAAGTACAAGTTTATGACGTACACCTTGAGGATATCTCACTTGTCATCCCTATCAATCCTTACTTTGATAACATCACTCCAGTACGTACTATAACTGGGCTTAACCGTCCCTGGGGAGTTGCTGTGACTGATGATGATCATGTTTTAATAACTGAGTATGGTGGTGACTGTGTAACAAAACTAGATAGAGAAGGAATGAAAGTAAAATTAATCAGAGGGAAAGGAAGAAGTAGCAGTGCTATTATTTCTTCTCATTGTGGTGCAGCAGACAAATTCTCTGATAATGATTTCAGGATCCAGAGGATGAGCATGGATGGATGGATACCATACATTAGTTGGTAAGGAGGGCAGTGGACCACTACAATTCAATACACCTCGTGGTATAGCTATTACTCCAGACAATTTCATTCTTGTGTCTGACAATCACAGGATCCAGAAGATAAGTATGGATGGATACCTTATAGCATCAGTTGGTGAGGAGGGCAGTGGACGACTACAATTTAATACACCTCGTGGTATAGCCATTTCTCCTATAACAGGGCAGGTTTATGTTGCTGATACTGATAATCATCGTATACAAGTCTTGAATCCTGATCTAACCTTCTCTCATTCATTTGTTGGTGAAGGATCAGCTAATGGACAGTTTCAGTCTCCATATGACATTGCTATTGACAGTCAAGGATTAGTGTACATTGCTGATAATGCTAATCATAGCATTCAGAAGTTCTCTGCAGAGGGAAAGTTTGTGAGTCAGTTTGGTACTTGTGGATTTGGTCCTGGACAGCTTAATAGTCCATATGGTATAACAATAGACACTGCAGCTACTGGTCTAGTGTATGTTAGTGAACATGGCAATAATCGTATATCAGTTTTCACTAGTGATGGTGTGTTTGTTAATAGGTTTGGGAGGCCAGGCGGTAGTATTGGTCAGTTTAAAGGTCTTTATGGATTAGCATTAGATAAAAATGGATTTTTGTATGTTTGTGATTGGAAGAACAACCGACTTGTTGTTTATTGAATGATTGTTGTTTATTGCTTGTATGGATTTTATGGAAAATTTCCTTATAATTTGCTTTAGATAGTTGCAGCACTTTGTGTGGTTAATATTATGCTACTTTACATGTGTGTGGGTTGTTTAATATTAATTTTATAATTATAAACAAAATGGCATTACTAAGGGGACCAAATTGACCAGATGATGTAAAAATTACAATACAGGGCTCCACAGTTTAAAATAATGTACAGTATGTGTACAGTGGTTTCTATGGTAAAACCAAGATTCATTATGTACTATCACTTCCTTATTTTTGCCCACTTTTTGTGTTGTTAGCATTTCTCTTCTCCTTTCATTTTGTTTTATTGCTGCATCTGTTGATAAGGACTCTTCCTCAAACCTTAAGGTTAAGAAAGAAGATATGATGTCTTCTTTGTTGGTGTAAAGGATTTTGATTACATTGAATCATTTGAATGACAGCTAGAGTATAGCTTAAGCTTGACTAAATCCTGCAAGAACTGCTTATATACCTAACTACAATGTATTAGTATGGTGACTATTTTTAGCTACATGTACCCGGTACATCTGTATCTTTACTACTTGCTAAATGCTATAAACAAGCTGTTGCTATAGAGAGATTCTGAGGCAATGAAGGAAGTGCAAATTGACATTAAAGTCAAGTGTACATGCATTTAGACATGTGGTAAAAACAATTTTTGGGTGTAATAATGCTTTACTTGCTCAGGCTCGCCCCTCAATGTTTTGTGTTTATCTATAAAAAGTGCATGTACTGCATTGGTTGCTATGGTAAAGCCAAGATTCATTATCACTTCATTTGGTCACAAGATCTTTGAATATATTTATGGTACCGCCTAGTTTTTGTGTCTAGCTGACCTTCTCTCCTCCTTCCACCTTCTTCATTTTTTATTGCTGCATCTTGCCATTAGGTCTCTCTCTCTCCTACTATACTTTGTTTTGCATTTACATTCATTCCAGCTTGTTCATTTTCTTATTGTTCTTTTTTTGCTATATCTTCATTTTATTTTATCTCTTTTCAGTTTTCATTCTTACTTTACGTACACAATTTTACCCTTTTCTCGAAATGGCAACCACACCATCTCCTGATCTCAGACTCAAACTGGAGGAGCGGCTCATTTGCCCTGTTTGTCTTGGCCACTATACCAACCCTAAGATCCTACCCTGCCATCACTCTTTCTGTCAGCACTGTCTGGAGAGATTACCTCTGGATAAGAAGAATGAGACCTATTACCTCTCTTGTCCCACTTGTCGTCATCGTACAGAGGTACCAGAAGAAGGAATAGAAGTATTTTCTGTAGCATTCCACCTCAACGACCTCAAAGAGATGTTCAGTCTAACAAAGAAGACAGCAGAGGCCACATGTAGTGATCATGAAAAGCCTTTGGAGCTATTCTGTGAAACATGTGATACAGTAATCTGTGTTGCCTGCCAGGTTCGTAATCACAAAAATCATGAATACGACTTAATCGCTGACAGTTATACTAAACACTGCCAAAAGCTTAGAGAATATCTATCACCAGTTGAGAGAAAGAAGGAAGCACTCAAGAAGGTCCTGTCTGCTCTAGCAGAGAGAGAGGGTGAGATCAGAGAGAGAGGAGAAGGAGTTTTAGAAGAAATACATAAAATGGTAGAGGAAATGATTGTTGTTCTTCGTCAGTCAGAGAGGAAACTGACTAAGCAAGCAAAGAGGGTCACTGATGATAAACTAAAGGTGCTGTCAGAGCAAATAGAATCAGCAGAAATGAGTTTGAGTCTTCTGGAGGATGTCGAGGAATATGTGGAACAGAGTCTGAAGACAGGCAGTCCTCAACAGGTCCTGAGGTTTAAGACACAGATGAAGAAGCATATGAGCGAAGTTAGTGCAGGGATTAATGTGGAAGAGTTACATCCAAAGGAAAAAGCTGACTTTGTATTGAGTAAAGATATCAAATCGCTACACCACATTGGAGATATTATTTCAGGGAACACTGCACTACAGCAGTGTAGAGTGAAGAAGATTAGTGATATTAGCAAAGCAGCTTCGTTTTCACTATCAATTGAAGCACCAGATTCATCTCTTCTGTCTGTTCCCCTCTCTTCTCTCAGCTGTAGTTTAGTACCAGTTGGTAAAGGTGATCAACCCATTCAAACTACAGTCACTACCACCAGCACAGCTCCTGAAGTGTATTGGATACAGTGTAACCCTTCAACACGTGGTACTCGTACAGTAGAAGTACAAATATATGACGTACACCTTGAGGATACCTCACTAGTCATCCCTTTCAATCCCCACCTTGATAACATCACTCCACTACGTACTATAAATTGGCTTAAGGGTCCTTATGGAGTTGCTGTAAGTAATAATAATCATATTGTAACAACTGAGTGCAATAGTGACTGTGTAACAATATGAGATAAAGAAGGAATGATAGTAAAATCATTAGGAGGGAAAGGAGGAAGTGGTAATGTCAAGTTTTCTTCTCCTCGTGGTGTAGCAATTACTCCAGACAAATTCATTCTTGTATCTGATAATCACAGGATCCAGAAGATAAGCCCAGATGGTTATCGTAAAGCATCAGTTGGTAAGAAAGGAGATGGGCCACTACAATTTCATACTCCTTTTGGTATAGCCATTTCTCCTGTAACAGAACAGGTTTATATTGCTGACCCTGGTAATCGTCGTATACAAGTTTTGAATCCTGACCTAACCTTCTCTCATTCATTTGATGGTGAAGGATCAGATAATGGACAGTTTGAGTATCCATGTGACATTGCTATTGACAGTCAAGGATTAGTCTATGTTGCTGATTATTGGAATCATCTCATTCTAAAGTTCTCTCCAGATGGAAAGTTTGTGAGTCAGTTTGGTACTGAAGGATCTGGCCCTGGACAGCTTTTTAGTCCATATGGTATAACAATAGACACTGCAGCTACTAGTCTAGTGTATGTTAGTGAATGTGGCAATGCTCGTATATCAGTCTTTACTAGTGATGGTGTGTTTGTTAGCAGTTTTGGAAGTGAAGGCAGTAATATTGGCCAATTTATTAATCCTTTTGGATTAGCATTTGATAAAAATGGATTCTTTTATGTTTGTAATTTTGGTAATGATCGTCTTGTTGTTCATTAAATGAATATTGTTTATTTTTCATTTTTAAAATTTATATAATTGGTAAAATATAAAAGCAAGTTAAATTTTACAATGCAATAATAGTAACGATAATAATAATAATAATAATAATTATTGATTAATAGGCTCTCCACAGGTGATGTTCCTACAGTATTAAGAACTGATGATCAGTTAATGAGTGAAGATGAGGTCAAAGAGATAAAGACAGGACTGAGTGCTATGAAGACAGGAGCTGTACTGGATATATTCAGTAAAGAGGATATCACTGGGAAAGAGAAAGCATGGCTGGTAAGTTATGGAGTTATTATTTGTGTAGTATTTTATGTGAGCTCAAATGCAAAAATATGTCAAGTCTGTCAATTTTATAACTGAAGTATATTACGTGTACATGTCATTTTTTCTCATATCTTGGTACATTGTAAAATATAAAATTGTAAACCTTAAGCTTGATTATGTTAGCTGCTTATGTTGCCTGTTGGATAAGTTGTATGTCAACTGTAGCCTTGTCTGTAGCAAGGGATTATCCAAGTTGACGGCTGTTTCTTTATTTTATAATTACAAAAGCAACTTCGGAATGTGTACATGTACAGCAAAATAAGAGTAGTTGTTTGTTTTTATACATTTTGTTTTACTTTATAGTAGAAAATTTTTATTGCCAGAAAATTTCATTGTCCATTTGAGCAGGCCTTCATTATATATTCATAAATTTAATTTTCATTGATTAACATCAGTTATCATTATTCATCTAGTAACACCCACTTACAGTGTAGTGATAAATTAAAGTTGCACAAAATTGAATCAAAGAACCTATACTGTACATACATGTACATGTAGTACAGGCCTGTTCACTTGCCGAATTTTGCCATATTTGAAAGGAAATATTATTTAATTTTTGTAATTTTTTAAAATGGATGTACTACATGTACATGTATTTATGTTTTTTTTTAAACTAATGATAATAATAATAGCAAAGCTAATTGTTGAAATATTGTACAGTATTATAGACTGATGATCAATGAAAAGTTTAATATAGAGAGGGAAAGAGTTGTGTAGAAACATTGAGCTGATTGCAAACACAAATGGATTTTAAAAGATTTTATAATTTACAGCAAATTTAGGCCAAAGTCCCTATACTACATATATTAGTAACACTGTAGCATTACTAAGTAGGATATACTCCACTTCAAAATGGCTGCCATGACTTTTGCAGCCTTGCTATACAGTACAGTGTCATTGGCCAGATTTCATTGAAATTGAAATTGGAAAAAATTTCCATTTATATATTTTTTTGATACAAATTATACATGTACACGTACATGCCCTTATGTTGTGAAGAAGTTTTGAGCTAATTCAAATCAAATTTGAATTTTTAAATTTGCTCCAAAATTAGGCCGAAATACCTGTACTATTATTATATTGGGTTACTGGTCAAATTTTACCAAAATTAGAAAATAGAAAATTTATAATTTTTACTAATGCATATACATGTACATACAGTATTCTTATGTTGTGTAGAAAATTTGAGCTGATTTTGATCAAAATTAATTTTTTACGAATTTTTAAAGTTGGCTCAAAAAATTGGGCAAAAGTCCCTGTATTACATGTATAGTACAGGGTCATGAGCCAAATTTCATCAAAATTGAAAAGAAGAGAATCTTCAATTTTTATTGTTTTGTCTGATGGATGTACATGTACTTACGTTGCGTAGGAGTTTTGAGCTGATTCTGATTCAAAAATTTTAAAATAGTAAAAAATTGGGCAAAATTAATTCCCTGTTTGCCAGAATAGAAAAGGAGATAATTTCACTTTTTAATAATTCTTTTCTGGTACATGTATATGTGCATGTACTTATTTGAGTAGAAAGTTTAAGCTGTATCCAATTGAAATTGGATTTTTAATGAATTTTGAAGTTGCCAAATACAATGTACATGTACATGTACATGTACAGCGTACATGTTTTACTATCAATATTCAATATTGGTGTGTTTATAAATTATAATCATAAGCCTTTTCTTTCTCTGTTTCTTCTTCCTCAGTATATTGGATACATCATTAGAGTTTGAAGAGGATGAAGATGCTATTATTGAGAAAATACGTCAAATGAGGAAGAATATAGAACAGAACTGATATCAATATGTGAGCCACACCCACTAATTAAAGGTTTATTTATAATATAAAGCAATAATGGACATTAAATAACCACGGAACCACGACCACATAACCATAACCATGCAACGAACATAGCCACAACTGACTTGAGCTCACCCAATTAATGCATTGTATTGGACTGGTTATTAACCCTTTGACAGTATATAATTCATGGGCAAAACTGATTGCGTTAATGTGAAATGTGTCTATTATTTAGAGGATTACCATTATGTACAATGTACATAGATATAGTTATATTTTCCTCTCTCTCTTCCTCTTTCTTTATCTCCACCTTAATCCTGGGTACATGTAATAGTGATGATTCTGAAGCAACTGAAGACTTAGAAAATAATATGAATGAGGTATACACATGCACATACTGTACATGTACATTACATACACAGTAAATAAATAAGTACATTTACTTCTAACTTGCCAAAATTTAATCGAACAATCACACATAAAGAATATGTATTGTACATGTACATGGTTACAATGTATGTTACAGTATGTACATGTACATTATTACATCTCAATGCTTGTAATGTCTTGTAGGAGTTTAAAGCAAGGCAAGGTAGGAGTATTGTCATTCAAGGAAAGTTTAAGTACCTGTGTAACTGTAACTTCTGAACTACATTTACATGTACAACTGCATGTACATGGACATGCATAAAAGTTGTCTAAATTTGTTTAGTTTCTTGAATTATTTACATTTATAATGAGATTTTAAGTGTCATCAATATATGCTATTGGCAACTAATGGTCATATAGTTTGTAGCCTCCAGGAGTAGCTGCTAGTTCAGTTAAGTTTAGGCTTGCCATTAGATTCTTATTTTAAAAATAAAACTTGCTGTTTGTTCTCTACATTTATGTCTTTGTTCATTTCAAAATATTTTTTGGCTTTTTTCAGAGAGAGCTAAAGGTTATGGTGTTCACAGGTGTAGGGTTTCTTACACAAGTACAGTAACGCGTCTTGTTGATTAGTGGGTTTTCAATAAGACATATTCTAGATAGATTTTGCTTATTGTTAGAATTATTAGTAATACTTATAACATGGCTAGGAGTGATGTATCTAATTTACAGTCACCGATCCCGAGGATGCGTGCGTCCAAGGGAGAGGTGACTGTAAATTAGATACATCACGAACTAGCCATGTTGTAAGTTACTTATGTCAAGATGACGCGTATCAAAGGCTCTACGCAAACTCATGCACAGATTTACGACGTGCTGACATTGAATAATAATGGCTGAAGGAGCTGTGAGCAGAGATTGACAAGAAGCAAGATATCAGACGATAAAGACGTTAAAATTGTGCCTGAAAAAGAGATGGAAACAGTGCCATGGCTAGAAGAAGAGATAGAAGTGGCATTAGAAGACGAAATTGTACACCCATTAAGCCGGATCTGATCCAAATGAAAAGTAAAACAGTTCACAATATAACATCAAGGCATGGCTCCTTGGAACAACAACTTTTATAAGAGGTTTTCCAATCAATGGAATTTTTACAGCCCTCTTCGTGTAATCGGTAATCCTGCAGAGGTTTTCCACAATGATAAAATTTTTGCAGCCCTCTTCGTGTAATCGGTACTATCCTGCACCAGTCCATCAAGAATATAAAGAATTATAATTGTTTTTTTTACTCAAAATAATAAAATCTTTGATTAAATTGTGGGTGGGTTACAGCACTATTGTGGGTGGCTTAGATCACTGCTGTGGTCTTGCTGGGTTATAGTGCATGTGCGTGTTGTGTTAGTATAATAATAATTATTATTATCGTGGTATTTGTTATGTATTTTGTGATTATTATTTTTTTATTATTATTACTTTCTTTACTGCTTGGGATTTCAGTTTTTATTATTATTATGATTTTTGATTGTGCAGTGATGATGTAACCTTGTGTACTATATTTATATTATGTGTTAATTAATGTTTATGTTCTGTTATTTAATCAGTAACTGTTTATATAAGTGCATGCTTTTAATCTGTTCTCAGCTCTGTTAAGATTAAGTTCTAAAATATTTGCTTCTAAAAGTTTTGCCGTGGTTGCATTTCATGCGTTTTGGTCACAACAGACTTATTCTAGGTGTGGATGTATGGTGAAATATGATAGTCATGTCCATTTGTATATTGTGTATACTTTATCATGAAAGTGTGTCTGAAGAGTCTTGTTTACTGGTAGACCTAGTATGTATAACAGGATGACCAGACTACAGGATTAGTAGTAAGGTCTATGTCACATCAAAACATTTACTAATATGCTGGCATTATTGTTGCTGTTGCAGCTACATTTCTTTCTTCTTTGGTCTGTGTTCCTTCAGTAAAACTATTAAATGATCCCTTGGTCACTGGCTCCTTTTCCTGCAGACTAGCTACACCTTTTATAATAAACCACACCCAACTAAGTTAAATCATTCCACGTATAAAAAAACATGATTAATAACTCTTAAATCACAATAATTTTGAGCAAAAAGAACTATATATTTATGTGCCACATCATTAATGACTATGCATACATTGCGTGATTTTAGTTTGCATCACTAAGTCTTCCATTAAAAAACTTCAATTTTTTGTTTCTGGCATCAAAAATAGATCTGACTGTGAAGGAGCCATTTCCTTTTCAAAACTTAATAAAGTATCACGTTTAAACCCTCCTTCAGAATTTGTTATAACCTTTTTAATCAATGTTGTCACCTTTTTATCTTTTTCATCAAATTTTTTAAGTTTTGTAATTTTCTCTTGTTCATATTTGCTCCAATTAGTCACAGGTGAAGTGTATTCTTGAAGCACATCAATGGCTGTGTGATGGTGTAGGTCTTCATTAGTAGCAGTAGTTAGTTGAAGCTGTGATTGCTTAGATGTTTCTGCTGCTCCGACATTGTGCATGTTTGCAATAACTGGAGCTGCTTGATTACAAAAGACATCTGGTTTAAGAAGCAGCTCAGATGATAAATCCACACTAGGATCATAGTTCAATTCTTTTGGATTT